CCCACTAACAACAAGGCCACTCTCTGATGGTACCTTATCTGACAAGTTTAGTGTCTTTCTGGCCAGAAAGCAAGTTCCCTAAGAATAAGTCATTTATTTCTTTGTGGTCTCTGAAGTCCACAGATTCCAGAAAAACTCTCAGCTCTACCCAGGGGATTATGTGTGTATATGTCTATCTGCATGTATATATGTATATCTATATGTTTATGTGTATGTCTATGTACTTACACATACATGCATACATGTTTGTGCATATATGTAAAATGAAAACAAGAATATTAAATTATTCAGCATAGATTTGTCTTCTATACAATGTATATTATGAATGAATAATCAAATAATGAGTTACCCAGAAGAGCAAACTATTCATGTGCATATTAAGTAATAACAGGAAAACGTCTGCTAGTTATCATCACACAGATCATCACTGAGACGCTTGTCCTCATTGTTTGTTTTCATCTTCTGTATTAACTGCTCACAGCGGAACGCAGTCACGTAAAGTCACGTCCAGAGCTAGCCTTCACTTCCAACTGAATTCCCAGCCTGTCTTCTATCTACCAGGACTCCTAGTTCTATAAACTCAGGGCCTCAGTGGAAAGAAGGCAAAGGGGTACTAACTGGAAGGTGATCCCCTAAACTAAAGACAAGACTGAACTTGCCCATTTGATCAAAATCTGAGTGTTCTCTGTTCCTGCCCTTGATTTCCCCACCCCAACTCCACCTGCATTCAGTGTGGTCAGCTCATCTTCTAAGTCTCAGGTGCCTTCACCACGGTGAAACAGGGAAAAGAAAGATTGGGCTAGGGCTCACAGAGTAAGAGAGAAAGTATTTGGATGTTACTGAAATAAGAAGAGGGAATGATCCCTAATAAGGAAAATGCACTCTACGTCTTGGAGTTGGGTCATATCAGATCTGATAGCTGCACAAGAGAATCCCTTCCAAAAACAAGGACTTCAGAAAATGAGTTCTTGCTAAATATCATGTATGTTTCACATTCCAGTAGAGCATATCACTCTGCTTGTGGCATTTGCTCCTCTGTGGTCTGTTGATAGGGGAGTCATTTTGACAGGTAACCTGTCATAAAATGCTCAGGGAGCTGAACAGAAAACTTCCCCACTATTCTGTTTAATTATTCACTCATTGAAAAGCAGAGTAGTTTACAGGAAAATGCTTGGCCTGTATTGCTCAGACAATATGGTTGTATGTCTTTATTGAGCCTTCTTCTTCTTAAGGAATGTTTCATAGTAAAATGCTGTACTCTTTGCAGACCTTTGGAAGGTCCAGTTTAGCTTCAGGACCACAGCAGAACAGGCCATATGTTTAGTGTTATTAATGTGTGAAATTTCATAGCCATGACCCATGAAGGAAGCCACTTCCTAACCTTCCTAACTCTGACAAAACAGGAACTGGCCATGCTTCTTACTTTTAGTCTTTCTGGGTTTTTAAAATGCCTTCTGCAAAATTACAACCCAAAGGGTGAATGAACTCTTGTACAATCTGATGATAGATAATCTGGCTTACTGGCTGTTTTGAAGGAATGTTATATAATGATACTTTTTCTTCAATTTTAATCTAAAAATAAGTATAATTAGATCTACTCTGCAACTGATATGCAGCTACACATTTTCCTGTAGTAAGAGAAAAAAAAATTGTTTGTTCCAGAGTCATTGAGTTCCTTCATGAGAGAAGAGATCAAAGCTTTTTAAAAGCATATTCAATTTCTATTTTCCTTCTTCCTAAACTAATAGAGCCTTAGTAGTGAAACAAACTGAAACCATGAAATCAAAAAAAATCTATTTAAAAATGAGGTATAAAAAAGCTGGTTTTTTATAGAATATAAAAATAACTACTAACACAGTTTCTACCCAACTACAGAGACACTTGCACATTATGTCCACTGTTATTCTAGTCACAATAGCTAGAAAAGGAAATCAACCTGTACATGAACCGAGAGATGGACAGATAAGAAAAATCAGCACCTATGCTGTAAAATGTTTCTAAGCTGTAAAGAAAAATTAAATCATAAAATTTGAATAAGTAAATGGAACTAGAAAAAAGGTGTACAGAATAAGGTAACTCCTCGGGCCGGAAAGATAAACGCTCTTTTCTCTCATCTGTAAAACGTGCCTTCAAGCCTTCTCTTTTGTGTTTAAGTTGGAGCACAAGTAGAAGCCAGGAAACTAGCTAGAGACCTTTGGGAGGGTGCTTGCAAAATGGGACACTGGAGATTAGCTTTAGGTAAAGCTAAAATAGGGAAACTGGATACTCAGGGAAGAAAGAGAGGGAATGGGAATAGGAGGGCTCACCCTGAGCCCTTAAACCACACAAAGTCCCCATCTCACAACCCAGCTAAAATAATTGGAGGGACAGAAGAACACAGGTAAAATTTAAAATGATGTGTGGGTGGGTAATCCTGCAAGTTAATGAATTAAATGGGGATGAGGGCAGGGACTGGGAGAAGAGCAGCGTGGAGTGAGTTATACAAAACTAAGGATTCGTGAGAACGCCTATGGAAACCTACTAAGTAGTAAGCCAGTTCCAAAACATAACTCTAAAACAAGGAGTTAAAACGGAATACCCTGCATTTAATAGACAATCGGCTCACTGGCAGGCTGCATGGATTATTAAGTATAAGTTGCAATATAAGTCATGGGATGCCTCCCTACATATTATTTGGTCAGGGAGATCTCAGAAGTCTGAAAACTAACACAGACCATTGTCATTGACCTTACTATAATTTAATTGTGCTCCTGTACTTGTTAATTTATGAGGTTTTACTGGATGGTAAGACCTTATTGATGAAAAACACACACACACATGCCTGCACACATGCACACTCATATGCACACACGTGCACACACACCTGTGTACGCATACACACACACTTTGGCTGTCAGACAGAGAAACTAATCAAAATATAAACAAGGAATTTCCTCCTTGATGCTCATCTCTCAAAATGCTGTAAGGTGCAGCACAGGCTGTTGGATGAGGACATGGTTTTCCCCATGCTCTGCATGCTACAACTCCAACCTGCCCTGCGAGATGCACCCAGTGGTGTAAGAATGGCGCAACTGGTATGGGGTAAGTCATAACCTTCTGACCAGATCTCAGCCCTGCTCCAGGAAATGAAATTTCTTTTCTGGTACTGTAAAAATTCTTTTCTGGTACAGTCAAAACCCCATGGCTAGGAGGCAACTGGCCCCAAATAGAACCCTTTACTGATATTTTCTTAAACAGCGATGCTGTTAAAGTGTTTTCTAAATATTTGTGCTTATATGTTTATACCCATAGAACCTGGCTGCTCTTAACTTGGGTCATAGAAACTACTTTTTCAGTGGTCAGTGGACAATGGAGAGATGCATAACTGGTCAAAGTGCCAAGAATATGGGGCTGAGTGCTCAACCCAAACAGGGTATCTACATTATCACACCCCACCTCTACACACACACACACACACACACACATATTCAGGGAACATCTTGTAAAATTAGGTAGAAGACAATGTAAGAGTTGCAAAATGGGGAAGAGCGCTGTGAGATGCTGTCCTCTAGACTGTGGTGGTTTGGATAAGAAAGGCCCGCATAGACTCATATATTAGAATGCGCAGTCACCAGGGAATGCTACTGTGAGAAGGATTAGAAGAATCATGAAGTGTGGCCTTGTTGAAGGAAGTGTGTCACTGGAGGTGGGCTTGAAGGTTTCAAAAGACTCACAACAGACCTAGCATTGCTCTCTGCCTGCTGCCTGCAGACCAGCATGTAGAACGCTCGGCTACTTCTCCAGCATCAGGTATGCTCATGTGCTGCTATGCTTCTCGCCATGATGGTAATGGGAGAACCTCTAAAACTGGAAGCGAGCCCCCAGTTCAACGCTTTCTTTTATAAGAGTTACCTTGGTCATGGTTGTCTCTTCACAGCAAGTGACTATGACATACACATGCATCCATGAACCCACGGCAGCTGGAGTTACCTGCATATATCCTGCATTAGCCAGCCAAAACGCCAGCATAGGAACTGTAGGTGATTACTGAGTAATTAGTGGTAGTTAATAGTCGCTGACAGTCGGACAATCATTTCTGAGATGTGGCCACTGGTAGGATGCTTAGACTCCAGTGGACAGCCCCATGTCCACGCATATATGAACAGAACTAACTAGGTTCAGTTTGTAGTTTAGGGCGGCACGAAGTTGGAAAAAGAATGTGCTAAAGTGATATGAGAAATAGAGAGGGAGTAGGTGTGGGAAAACTGAGTAATTGTACGTATTGTGAATTCAAGAATAAAGAAATATTTAAAAAGGAAATAGCTACTTACCACCTACATTTAGTATAGATATCAGGCTGAAAGGAAAAATGTCTAATATTTTCATGGCAATATCTATTTGAAAATCTACTTTTCTCTCGGTCTTGTAAACTTCTTAGTCATGTTCTGATAAATATGGTCATATGTGTTTCTTCCTCAGAAAACAAAGGTTTTCGCACACAGAATTCATCAAAGAGCATAATCGAGTTGGACAAAATGTACATGAATGAAAAGACTCTCTTCCTCTCTCTTTCCCCCGCCCGCTCTCAAAAACCACAAGAACAAAACCGTTAAGATAGCCCAGAAGTTCAGCAGGCAACAACGCCATCCGCCAAGCCTGAGGATCTCATTTCAACTGCTGGAACCCACGTGGTGAGAACCAATTTCCACTAGTTGTCCTCTGACCCCCACACCCACCTGTACACGAATGAACCCATGTATACATGAAAAGTACACAAACAACCACACATAGAGAAAGAACTTCTACTGTCTTAAGTGTATTTTCATAATCTATTGGTGGCTCAGGTCATACATGTTCTTATGATACAGAACCCTTGCCTTCCATTATATGTTTGTGAAAGTGACCTTGTAGAGTTGTTCAATTTCTAATACACATTCATTTCCCGCTATTAGCAGGACTAACACCTTGAAGTCACTAGATAGTATAATTCAAGTGAAGACAACTCAGCAGCAAGCACTTACTGGTTCAGCAGGACATCAAGAATGAATGAGGTTCCAAAGGCGTCCACCTGGAAGCTTGCCTTGTCCACGTGAGCCAGCTGCAACATCAGAAAGGTAAAGTGCATTTACTAGTCGGCTGTGCTGATCAGGTATGAGCAGTTTTTAGGATGCTTCTGAAAGACTCTGGCATCAGAAATGAGCCAACAGTTCAACAAGGAGGATAAAAGACAGCACACTACAGCAAAGCTCCAGGCCTCCTGGAAGCTGAGCGTGTCCAGTTTGCAGTTAATAACCATCACTCAAGAGCTCGACCTTTCTGCTTTGTCTCTCTTCATGAACCACTGCATATCCAACTTTACTGCAGTAAACTTATTCTCTAGTCTGTGAGCATCTCTTTTAAAATTAAGCTTTCTACCTCAAAAAGGAAGCTGGGTTTCATTCAAGACTGAAATAATACAGTAAATATTATCTACTTACACGGAAAACATTTAAGCTAAAATTTAAAAAAAATCCTTCATCAAACCTCTAAAGTATACTTTTAAAATAGCATTCCAGTTCTAAGTGGTAAAACCTAATTTCAAAGAAGCTGCTACCTCTTTCTAAGAGGCAAACTTAAGACTTTGTATACACTGAGAATATCATCCCCCAAATGTTTCCATGACAAAAATAATCACTGCTTACTGTGTGTCATCCTACAAATTCTGACAACCAGCAGGGGCCCTAAAAATACCTACTGGTCATGTTAACATTTGCATGTTGAATGGTCACAGGCATAAGCTGCAGGAAACAAAACAGCTTTTCCTTTCACCCCCAGTACCAATAGTCGCTAGCTCTGAGCAGTAGACTATGTAGTACCAGATTTTTATTGTGGTCATTCTTCTGTCTATATGTTCATGTGTTCTCTGGTTTGTTCTTTGGTATGTGCCTAATTTTCTAAAATAAATATGTGTACTTGCTCTCATGAAGAGAAACAATGAGCATTATTTTAGGGCAGGCCCCACCTTAGCAGCCTCATGGAGAAAATTCGGCTGCTAATCCCTGAGAGCCAGCATCATGGGACAGGGCATCAGCAGGGCTGCAACCAGCCCTTAACTTCCAGTTCTCCACATTTAGGATGCAGTGAAAAGAGACGGCCTAACCAGCACTAACAGAGTTTTCTGGTGCAACAAGATGATTCTATTGAACAGTATTTGAAAAGACATGGATGGGAGACTCCTGTACAGCAGTTCCTGAGAACCTCAGTCCCCTCTAACCAGGGAGACAAAAAGTTCAGATGCATTCAGCCCCATCGGCCAGTCAAGCCCAAGTAGGCTTACAAGCACCTCCCTGCACCGTATCCACATGGACTTCTTTCATCTATTCTCTAGTTCAAAAGAAGAACATTGCCTGTATCTTTTACCCACTGCTTCTCCTGAGAGCTTTGCTGCACCAGACCCTTGACCTAGACGGTTTCCTGAAAACAACACTATCTGAATTTCAGAACTCAGGCCACTACCCCTCACCCTAGAAACTGCCAGAGGCCCTAATAAAATACCACAGATGGGGTGACTTAAATAACAGAGATTTCCTTATTCACAATTCTGGAGGACGGATGTCCCTGGACAGAGGCTGGCAGGCTCAGTTTCTCCCAAGACCTCTTTGTGGCCTCACCATGTCCTCACACAGTCTGTGTGTGAACTCTCAGAGTCACTCCCCTTTCTTCTGAGGATAGGAGTCCTCTTGGATTAGGGACCCCAGCCCAATAACCTCATTTAACCTTAATCTCCTCTTTTAAACCCCTGTCTTCATGTATGACCACACTAGGTGGTGGCTCTAGTACATGAGTTTTGAGGCAGTCCAGTTCAGTCCACAACACTCCTCTCCCATAGTCCTCATCTCTCTCCTCTCTGCAGAGCCGGATGACATCAGGGATTGGGGCTGAGCAGCACTAGGAGCTCACTCAGTATTTCTGCAGTAGCTCACTAATAGGCTGTCTTACCAATCACCTGGATGCACAAGGAAACCATGATACAACTACAAATTACCTGCTTACTAGATGCAGTCTTCCCATTAGACCTGCAGCTCTAAGTGCCAGGTCAATAGGCAATCTACTTTCTGCCTAAAAGCTCCTCGAGTTTCCTAAAGCACTAAGATCATGTTTTGGGAACAGCATCAGAAAAGTCCTACTTACCAAAACTGACGTCTCAATTAATATGAACCTTGCCCTTTCCTATTCTTCCCAGACCCTTGTGTGACTATAACAGCTCTTATCTCAGGCTCCTCTGAATTGTAAATACTAACACCATAAATCTGTGGTGAACAGGCTATGTCGGTTTGATAGCTCAGAGTCCAGTAACATTACCGTTAATTTTAGTAATGTATTTACTGTTTTCATTCATTCTAATCCTTTTTCCTTGTTAATTAGCATGTGGTAATTGTGTATCTGTATGAGGTATAGTGTAATATTTCAAAACGTTTGTATAAAATTGTATCAGGGTGATTAGTATTTCTATTTCCTCACCATTTCTTAGTATTTGGAGCCTCTGAGCTCTTCTTTTATAATATTTCTTTTTTTTATTGGATATTTTATTTATATCTCAGACGTTATCGCCTTTCCCTATCCCCCTCCCCCAGGAACTTCCTATCCCATCCCCCCTCCTCCTGCTTCTATGAGGATGTGCCCCCACCTACCCCCCCACTTCCACCTCCCTACCCTCGATTTCCCCCACACTGGGCATCCAGCCTTCATGGGATCAGGGGCCCTCCTCTTCCACCTATGCCGACAATGCCATCCTCCACATATACAGCTGTGGCCATGGGTCCCTCCCTACGTGCTCCCAGGCTGGTGGATAAGACCCTGGGGGCTCTGGTTGGTTGGTATTGTTGCTCTCCCCATGGGGCTGCAAACCCTTTCAACTCCTTCAGTCTTCTCTCTAACTCCTCCATTGGGAATCCCATGATCAGTTCAATGGCTAGCTGTGAGCATCCACCTCTGAATATGTTAGACTCTTGCAGACCTCTAAGCATATAGCTATATCAGACTCTTATCAGCATGCACTTCCTGACATCCACATCAGCGTCTACCTTTGGTGACTGCACAGGGGATGGATACCCAGGTGGAATGGTCTCCAGACAGCCACTCCACTCCTTCAGTTTCTGTCCCACACTTTGTCTCCATATTTGCTCCCTTGAGTATTTTGTTACTCCTTCTAAGAAGGACCGAAGTACCCCACTTGGTCTTCCTTCTTCATGAGCTTCATGTGGTCTGTGAGTTGTATCTTGGGTATTGCAGCTTTTGGGATAATATCCACTTATCAGTGAGTGCATACCATGTGTGTTCTTTTGTGATTGGGTTACCTCACTCAGGATATTTTCTAGTTCCATCCATTTACCTAAGAATGTCATGAATTCATTGTTTTTAATAGCTGAGTAGTACTCCATTGTGTAAATGTAGCACATTTTTGTATCCATTCCTCAGTTGAAGGACATCTGGGTTCTTTCCAGCTTCTGGCTATTATAAACAAGGCTGCTATGAACAGAGTGGAGCCTGTGTCCTTGTTATACGTTGGAGCATCTTCTGGGTATATGCCCAGGAGTGGTATAGCTGGATCCTCAGGTAATGCTATGTCCAATTTTCTGAGGAACCGCCAGATTTCCAGAGTGGTTGCAGCATCTTGCAGTCCCACCAACAATGGAGGAGTGTTCCTCTTTCTCCACATCCTCGCCAGCATCTGCTGTCACCTGAGCTCTTCTTGTATAATATTTCATATCTAGAGCTCACTGTGAACTCTCATCACCTTACAGTAGAGCTTATTACTCCATCATGTGCTTGTTATCAACCTCCTACCGTCTTCTTTTCACTCCTCTGCCTAGCCCCTAATCATTACTACTATTCCTCCCCCTCCTCCTCCCCCTTCCCCTTCCTCTCCCTCCTCCCCTCCTCTTCTTCCTCTCCCTCCTCCCCCTCCTCCCCCCCTTCCCCTTCCTCTCCCTCCTCCCCTCCTCTTCTTCTTCCTCTCCCTCCTCCCCTCTTCCTCTTCTTCCTCCCCCTCCTCCCCTCCTCCTCTTCTTCCTCTCCCTCCTCCCCTCCTCCTCTTCTTCCTCTCCCTCCTCCCCCTCCTCCTCCTCTTCTCCTAGACTTTCCATATGTGGAAACAATAAGAAGCACTTGTCTTTCTGCATGGCTCACCTCATTTCACACGATGTCTTCTAGTACAATTCATTTTGCACAGAGCTCGATTTTTATATATTTTCTACCTGGAGTTCCTTTTTACATCTTTGTTTGTTTGTTTGTTTGTTTCTTTGTTTTTACAAGCTTCAGTCAGGACCCAAGGAGAAACTTAAGTTCAAAGGAAATATAGGGAAATTTTATTTTAACTAAGATTCAGGTATAATTTAAGTGTGTATTACTTAATACAATTCTAATGTAAGATGTTTTCACAAACTATTTTCAGAAAGATGGACTGACCAAACTTCTCTGACAGTGGTCCACGTGCTAGGAGGAGTTTGACTCAGCATGCTTCTGCTCTACCTGCCTACTATAAAGAGACAGAAAATGACTTATTAATTAGATAAAAAAATAAATTTAGAAAAATACAACACTCTCTTAATAGTTAATAAAATTAGGCAATGTGGTCGAAACTACCAGGATGGATGGGGTCTTAGGGTGGTCTCAGAAGACCTTTCTGAGGTAGTGAGACAGCGAGGCACAGCAGTGACCAGAGGGCAGAATAACAGCCCTGCCCAAGGTCCACACTCTTGCCTCAGGACTGTGAACACACGGCCTGACACAGCATGAGGGATCATGCAAAGCAATGGTTAAGCTGAGGACTGACATGGAGGCTCTCCTGGGTCACAGGGTGGGCTTCTGTCTGTTAGCATCAGCTTTTATAAGAGGGAGCAAGAAGACAATGGAGGCAGGCAGGAGAGATGGCTCAGTGGTGAAGAGCACTAACTGCTCTTCCAGAGGTCCTGAGTTCAATTCCCAGCAACCACATGGTGGCTCACAATCATCTGTAATGGGATCTAATGCCCTCTTCTGGCATGTCTGAAAGAGCAACAGTGTACTCGCATACATAAAATAAATAAATAAATCTTAAAAAACAAAAACAAAAAAGAA